CTTGTTTTCAAGCCGGTGGTAAATATATATATATATATATATATATATATATATATATATCCGTACATTGATTCGACCGAACCGGAGTAATTCAATTGGAAAGCTTGACACGAGATAGGTGAAGGTGTCCATATACTTTATGTTGCTCACCTATTCAGTCCAGTTATCACTTACCTTCCTCCAGACACCATCTACCACGAAAAGGATCAAGTGTCGAAAGAGGTTATCTGGCGATGTGGATACCTATGTCTGAAACAATTACATATGTTCTGCCATCACAATGAGATTGCACCTTGACGTGGTGTGATGCCATGCGTGCCTCCGAGACCCTGCAAGTTACACAGGACGGACGAGCANGAGCAATGCTGAGGTTAGAAACAGTTTTAGGTAAATGCGGTCGCCCACTGGTGCAAGTGGTCAACCTTCATAGATTACAGGTATTGACCAAACTCGTGCAACATCCTGATTTTCATCACATTTGTTCCTCTCAATGCTTCCTTTTTAACAGCCTCATTCACGGAATTGAATATGATATTGCCCCACATCAGACGCAACATATCTGATGTATTATTTACTTGTGTCACTGCTTCTATTAAAATGACTCCCAGACTTTATACAGGTATTGCACTTTCATCTCGTCCATGTTCCATTTGCTCCTGTTCATTTTTGAGCACTGGAGGCAGTCGTTTTAGAATGGAATCCACCAAGTTAACTGCCAAAAAGAATTTGCAAGTTTCCTTTTATACACCGCACAACCTTAACACCGGCGACCAGTGGTAACTAACTTATCCCTGTTTCTGATAGAGGGAAAAGTTTCCGATTAAATCAATATCCCAGCTGCTGCGCGGTAATAGAACGAATTTGACATTGAAATCCACCCCTCCAGAATCTGCATAAATAGTATTTGTTTAGGTCTAACCGTTTTCTACCACCAAGCTCAAGCGAGCTGATAGGCCAACCTTCATATGTGAAAATATGACTTCCGTGAATGCATTTTTGGAGTGACAGTTATCAAAATCCTCCCTTATCAGTGCAGAAAATTTTGCTATGTCCGATTTGGCGTATGCAGGAGACCAACAAGGATGCGCTCTATAATCATATCCCTTCCAACTCGTTCGGCGGTGTAGATATTCAATTCTTTTGACAGGTAAAAGGAAATTCATTAGGAAACTGGCTCAGTAGATCAGTTTTAACAATATGCTGAATTACTCGTTGGCCACCCGTGAGATGAACCCATTGCCAAATGGGCGGGCGACGCGATTTGAACTTGTTGGTCAAATCAATACGCACTATGCTTTGTTGGGCGTTCGACAAAAGCTTTAGCCTCAGCCTCAGCTGCATTTCAAATTGAGTCATCACTTTCCAAACGAAATAGTGGGGAAAAAATGGTTAATCAGCCAGGAATATCATCCAGATGGGATTTGTTCTATTATTCTCAGCTGCAAACAAATACAACCAGCATCTTAGTTTGCTATGGTCGGTTTTCTCCCTCTTAGTTTATGTCTTGATGAAGAAATTTCGTTGAATATGCAACAAATTGGACTTATGTTCACATGGAAGCGCTTCCACAAGATATCAACTGAGCCAACAGATTCATGCGCCTCTCGTTTTAGTTGCTTCTCGGCTTTAATTA